GTGGTGTGCATAATTTGGCCATCTCTCGGGAAATAGCTATTGTGACCGCAGCGAGTGCTGAATAGATAATTGTCATTTTTTTGCTATTGTTACTCATTGCAGTCGTAAATTCTAATATGTAAATTTCTTCTGGTTCAGTGAGTTTGTTTGGATAAGTAGGAGAAAAGGAGGATTACGGCCAACAGCTCGGACTCCATCGATTTATTTCCCTGGTTATGTCAGTGGTCAGAGGGCAGCAAGTTTATGTCTGTAATTTGTGTTGAATCGTTTAAACGAGTGCTGAAAAATGACATGAAATTTGTGGCAGTGCAAATGCCTAAAAAGAAATTTGCATATATAATCATTCCAGGATGAGGCATATTATGAGCGACGTCGAAAGAATAACGATGCAGCGAAAAGGTCAAGAGATGCAAGGCGCCAGAAGGAAGAAGCTGTTGCTGCAAGAGCTGCATTTCTGGAGCAGGTAAACTCCAGTTCTGGTTGGTCATCACTGCTAAGAAGATATACCTGTGCTTGTGAGATCCTTTATTTCTTGGTCTTAGTGGCATAAGCAAAATACAAAAATAAAAAAAAAAAACAATGTTTTTGGCAACTTTGCTTATTTTCAATATTTTGAAAACCAACGGAATAGTGCCCAATATTTTTTAATCTTAAACGTCACTTTAAAATAAGTGTCCACCCGGAAAACGTGACCACTTGGATAGCCTTTGACAATGCGGTGCACAACATCGAACAAACGGTAGGCACTAACATGAAATAGGTGGTGCAAAGTCAAACATCCTGGCTTAGTGGCATGTAGGAACAATTCATCCAACAATATCACTAACATGGAATTCCAACACGGATAACTCAAACGGTTCTGGTATTTTTGATAACATTTTAATGGATGATAATATTCAAATCGCGTAACTGATTTTAAGGTAATACCGGTATACAATCTTTAAGTGGGGAGTTACAGCATGTTTCATTTCAGCCTTTTTTTTAGGAAAATATCCAGCTTCGTAGCCAAGTTGTTCTACTAAAAAACGAGACTGCAAAACTGCAGCTGATGTTATTCTCAAAACCAGAACTGATTGATTCAAAAGTGCTAGCAATAAGCCAACTCGATCCTGTAAAACAAGTTCAGCCGCAGCAGCAGCAAAAAGCAAAGGAAGAGCAGCCGGAGTTGCACCGCGGTGAAGCTGAGGAGCCTGGAGTGGAGCGCTGAAATTCATCACATCTTTGGCTGGTGGAGACATGGCTGATTGCCGAATTTCGACATTTTCGAAAAGATCCTTTTTCTTCCTCTCCATGAGAGGTGGAACCATTTGAAAGTATCCTAGCAGATAATACACTGCCACTTGCTGATAAGACAGACAAAAAGCCTTCTTCCGGGATTGTTTAGGAAGAGACTAGAAGTTTTTCCGGCTCCCTGACGTGTCCCAACACAAATTAGTCATCAATATGAATCGGCGAGCCGTAGAAGAAATCTTCACAAAAGCGGAATTGAATCGCCATTTTTATGCTGGAAATAGGCGTTAGTAATCACACAACTCCACAAGGTTAGATCGTAAAGAATTTTTGTATTTTTTACAGTTAACTAATGTTAAACAGTTATTCATTTATTTTAGTTTTTCTTTTTATTTCCTTATAGTATTATCTTTACTATCAGTATCATTAACAATGTTTTAATGGGGATGACTAGATCAGTTGGCGCAGCAAATTCGCATATTAATCAGATTCTACCTAGTTTTTGGAAAAAGGGAAAGGGCAAATTGCCAGCAGCGCTCGGTCAGCTGGTGTGTGGAAGTACCACGCGCTCGAAACTACGACAAGCGCGAAAAGTAAAGAATTCAAAATGATGCAAAAACAGCTGGAATGGAAGATTAACCTTGTAAATACGAATAAATAAGCTTTAGTAACGATTTGCTCGTCCTCAAGTCCTCCTGGGAATCAGACTCATTTTTTTAATTCTCATCGATATCATCGCATTCAGCGGCCTTCTTGTTTAATCAGTTTCTCTTTTTCTTCTTGCGAATCGCTCCATTTTCTTTTTTTTTTTTTTTTTCATATTGTCGATTCCAACTCGAGTCATTTCAGTTTCTTTTTTTCATGTTGTC